GTATGAATGTGCACAGGCGTATGCCACAGCTACATGTGGGAGTCAGGACAACTTCTGGGAGTAGGTTCTTCCACCTAAGCTCTGTGATCATCATGCTTGCACTTCAGACATTTACCTGAAGAACCATCTTTCTAGTCCCCTCCACTTTTCTATTCAATACTGACTTAACTATCCTGAATTCTAGGATGGCTTTTCTGTTTGTAGCCATAAGAGGGGTTTTAACATTGTGTTAAATCTGCCATTTGAGGTAGTACTAAGTCTTAACAATTACAAGTATTCTGGTCCTTAAGCAGAAAAAATGTCTTTCCATTTAGAGTCCTTGGTTGAATTTATTCCTAAGTGTTTTAATTCTTTGTGATGTTATTATAAATTGAATTATTTTCTTAGTTTCCACTTAGGGATCATTGTTCATTAGCATGAGCAAATGCGACAGGTGATTTTACCTCTTCCTTTCTGTTTGGATACCTCTCACTTCCTCTTTTTGCCTGATTGTTAAAATTTCTAGTAGTACGTTGAATATTAGTGATGAAAATGGGCATCCTTGGCTTTAGAGAAAAGGCTTGGTATATTATACTGAGTTTAATGCGGACTTTTCATATATGGCTTTTGTGTTGTTGACTTTCCTTCTACTTTTAATTTATTGAGTTTTTATTATGACAAGATATTGAATTTTGTGAAATGCTTTTTCTGTATCATTTGAAATCATTGTGGTTTTTCTTCACCTTGAAATGTGTATTTCACTGGGTGTGTGTGTGTGTGTGTGTGTGTGTGTGTGTGTGTGTGTGCTCAATTATATGTATATACATATGCATGAGTGCTAGTCTTGTATACATGTGCACATTGGTGTGGAGGTCAGAGGACAACCTTGAGAATCATTTCTTTGTCATCATTCATCTTGTTTTTTTTTTTTGAGTCAGAGTCTCTTGATATCCTGGAACTCTCCAAATAGGCTTGGCTGGCTGGCCAGTAAGGCCCAGGCATCCACCAGTCTCTGCCTCCCTAGTGTTGGGATTATAAATGTACACTAATCTCACATGACTTTTCACAGATCCTGGGGCTCAAACACATGTCTTCCTGCTTGCAAAGCAATCTACTTTTACCAACTGAGCTGTCTGTCTCCCCAACCCATCATAGATTTTTGTTATTGTTCTGCTAAATCACCCTAACATTCTGTCAGTAAATCCTTGATTATGACATAGTAGCTAATACTTTTTGAAAAAGCTTTGTTTTTATTTTATATGTGTAGATATTACTTACATGTATATATGTATGCACTACATGTGTGTCTAGTGCCCATAGAGACCATACGTAAGAGGGCATGGGATCCCTTGGAACTGGTATTAATAAAATGGTTATCCTCTGCCATGCAGGTTCTGGGAACTAAACCTGGGATCCTTTGCAAGAGCAGCCAATGCTCTTAACTACTGAGCCATCTTTCCAACCCCACATAATCATTTTAATGTGTTGTTGAATTCTGTTTGCTAGTAATTTTTAAATTTTACATTTAGTGTGTGTGTTTATATGTATCAGAGGATAACAAGTCAATTCTCATTCTACCATGTGGGTTCTGAAGATCAAACTCAAGTTGCCAGGCTTGGCAGCTGAGCTATCTTTTTGGCCCCTGTTAGGCTTTTTGTTGCTATGGTTTTGTTTTTAAGGACTTTTGTAGCACTGTGACCTGTAGTTTTATTGCCATGTCTGTTTGGTTTTGGTATCAGGGTAATGCTGGCCTCATACTTTGGAAATGCTCCCTCCTTTTTAAGTTTAAAGAATAATTTGTCAGAATTAATTTTAATTTGGCCTTGTGTGGTTGTGCATGCCTTTAATCTCAACATTTGGGAGTCAGAGGCAGGAGGATCTCTTGAATTCAAGACCAGCCTGGTCACCCAAGGCTAAATAGTGAAAACCTGTCTCAAATAGCAAAAAAATAAAAACCAAAAAAAACTGTTTAGATGGTTGGTAGAGTTTACTGTTATAGCTATGTGATCCTGGGCGTTCCTTTGCTGGGAAGGTTTTAACAGTAGATGTAATCTTACTAGTTAGAGGGCTGCCTATTTAGATTTTTATTTCTTCGTGAATCAAAGTTGGTGATTTTTCTATTTCATCAATTATCCAATGGATATATTGATGAGATACAGTTTATATTTTTTTGTACTTTTCATTCTTGGAAAACCTGTCATGATATTCCCACCCCTTTTAAAGGTACATCACTGTGTGTATGTGTATTCACATGTGTGTACATAAATGTGCAGGGGACGGAGTAGGGGGCTGAAGTTAACATAAAATCTCTTCCTTTAGCTTCTTGATTAAATACAAAGTCCTGACTGGCTAGACCAGTTAGTCATGTTGCCCTAGGGATCCCCCATCTCTGCCTCTTAAATCCTGGGATTACAGACAGCCACACCCCTACCTTTATCTACTAAGGTATCTATCTATCTACTTTATCTACTAAGCCATCTCCCCAGCCTGGTGTCCCCTTTTTGGTTTCTAATTTTAGTTAGTTGAGCTTTTTTTTCCCCCTTTCCTAGCCAATCTAGCTAAAAGTTTGTCAGTTTTGAGATTTGAAAGACCAATTCTTGATTGTTTTATTTCTGCTCTGATCTGTTTGTTTGCTTGCTGTTTTCTCTGTTCGTTGAAGAATAAAGTTAGAGCCTTGGTGCAAAACTGTGAATTTTAGCATTGCTTTTGTTGTATCCCAACACTTCAGGTATTATGTGGTGGTTTTGTTTTGTTTACATTTGTTTCAGGGAGTGTTCTAATTTTCTTGGTAATTTCTTCTTTCAACCATCCATTGTTTAGAAATGTCCTATTTAGCTGGCAGTGGTGGTGCATGCCTTTAATCCCAGCACTAGGGAGGCAGAGGCAGACAGATTTCTCTGAGTTTGAGGACAGCCTGATATACAGAGCAAGTTCCAGGGCTACACAGTGAAACCCTTGGGTGGAGGGTCCTATTTATTTAACACAAAATTGTGGGTTTTATAGTTTCCCTTAATGTGTTAAAGCTTTTTGTGGCCCTGATGTAGCTGGGAAAGTATTCATATGCACTTGAGAAAAATGTATTTTCTGCTTGTTGGGTAATGTGTCCAAATAGTCTATGGTGGTGGTCAAGTTTTGTTTTTCCTTATTGATCTGCCTTACTATTCTATCTGTATCCCTTGAACAGTCTTATTTCTCCCATAGGTCTCTGTCAATATTTCCTTCATACACTTAGCAATTTTAGTTGGCATATCTTTGTTGATAATTGCTGTGCCTAGTTGGTGATCTATAAATATCCTTATTTCATTATATAATTGCCTTTGTCTCTTGAAACAGCTTTGACTAAAGTCCTTTCTTTCTGTTTCCTTGTGCTATGTCCCTCTTTGGGTTTCTGTAGTTGAATGGGAATTGTTTTTCATTCTATCAATTTAGTGTGCTTACTTCTAATGTGAGGTCTCTTGTAATAAAGTATATAGTTGAACCTTGCAAATTTATTCTTCCAAGCTATATCTTTTATTTGTAATTAAATCCACTGACAAAGTAACTACTGTAACTGTTAAAGGAAAGGGCTCCCTGTTGCCATTTGTTGTTTTCTATGTCTTACAGGTTTTTTGTTCTTCATTTCTTATACTATTTTTTGTGTGTAGTTGATATTTATAGTGACTTGTTTGATTTACTTTCATTTCTTTTTGTGTATATTGTATATGTTTTTATGAGGTTTACGTGAAACATCCTAAAGTTACAACAATCTATTTTAAACTAGTAACTTTGATCACATACAAAGCTTCTTCTCTTTATAGCTCTATCCCCCTTTTTTACATTATCAATGTCACAAATAGCATATGTGTTTCCAATAACAAGTTTATAACTTTTTATGCTTTTCTATTTTAAATACTGTTGAAGAATAAAAAGAGTTGTGAACCAAAATTGCAGTGATGCTGGTTTTTCCATTTGTATGTTTATTATTATAGAAAAATTTTATATTCTTATATATGACTTTAAGTTTAGCCCTATTATCCTTTCTTTACAACTTGAAGGATTCTGTTCTGCATTTCTTATAAGGTAGGTCTGGTGGTAATGAACTGACTTCCTCTGCTTTCTTCATTTCTCCCTCATTAAAGAAATACATTATTTCATGTGTGTGTAATGTATGTATGAAAGGGTTCTGCATAGCATATGTAAAAGTCAGAGGACAACTTTGGAGAATCAGTTCTCTTCTGGCATTGATGGATTCTAGGACTTGAACTCATTTTGTCAGGCTGGCACAGTAAACACATTACCTACTGAGCCCAGGAGCCCTCTGTTTTACCAGTCCTCTCATTCATTTTTGAAGACCAGTTATTGTGTGACAGAATTTTCCTGGGGAGATGTAACACACACATGTCTACTCACCACAGATATGAAGCCCACGACAGACCAAAATATGGGTACTATTAAAATGCAGCTTGGTAAACCAGTGAGTTTTATTGGGGAAATGACTCAAAGGCAGCTGCATCACCATATCCCAGCCAGCATGGATGACAGCTTACAAAAGCTAGAAACTCAGCATATTACAGAGTGTCCTTACCAGATACTTCAGTTGGTCTAATGCCCTTCCAGGAAGCTCAGCCAGTCTCTACTTCCTCCAGACAGCTTGGTCTGGTCTAAGAGTCTTCTTTGCAAGTTGGCTTGTCTCAGTCATCTTTGCAACTTGGCTCATCTGTGAGTGACGCTCACCCAACTTTATTTATGGCTGAGATGGAAGGGCCTAGTAAATCTGGTCAGTGTCAGGGACTTCATGAAGCTATCTTGAGTTATTTACTTTCTGTTTTAAGGCACTTCCCTGAGAGATGGAATGTGTCAATCTCAGAGGAAACTACAAAACACTTATAAGTCTCTGGGGCATTTAAATACTTGGTCTGCAGTTGGTGGCTGTTTGTGGAAGGTTAAGATGTATGACCTTGCTGGAAGTATATTACTTTGAGGTTTCAAAAGACTCATGCCATTTTGAGTTATCACCTTTTGTTTCCTGCTTGTGGTTCAAGATGTATGCTTTCAGCTGCTGCTCATGCCTGTCCCCCGATGTCTTCACTCTGTCATCGTGGACTCCAACCCTCTGAAACCGTAAGCCCAAAATAAACCACCTATAAGTTACCTTGGTCGTGGTGTTTTATCACAATGATAGAAAAGTAACTAATATGTAAGTTGGTACCAGGAGTGGGGACAAACTTGACCATTTGGGGAACAATGTGGAAGACTTTGGAGCTTTGGACTAGAAAAGCCAGTGGATGCTGTAAGCAGAGCTTAATGGGCCATTCTGGTAGGAGCTTCCAAGAAAGTGCTGAAAGCACTGTGAGCTGTAGTGGCCTAGCTCAAGAGTTTTCAGAGGGGAACAATATAAGCAACTGAGCTGGAGACCATTCTTATATTTGGCAAAGAATAAGGTGGCTTTCTGCCCCTTTCCTAAGAACTTGCCTGTGGTTAAATTTAAAAGTAATAGACTAATGTCTTTGGCAGAGATTTCAAGACAGCCTAATACTAACTCTGTTTTGTGGTTATTAGGCATTATTTTTTTGCAGATCTACAATGAAGAGCAAATAGGGCAGAAAGATGCAAAATGTAGAGTTTGGAGAGGAAAAGGATACTGGCAAGGTTAATGCTACAGCCAAGGCTTGTGCTGGAAGAGAGCCTGTAACTGTTAAGGGAGGCCAAATATGCATTGGAATGGACAGAAGGATGCCTTAAGGGCACAGCCCCACTCAGCTGAATTTCCACCTTATGAAAGGAGAAGACCTAAGGAATTAATTAAAAGCTGTTACAAGTATGACTCAAGGGAACCAGGATTCATGCCAAGTTGGTAACTGAACCTTGACAATGTCAGCCATCCAGTTCTGGCTTTAGAGTCATGAAAGCTACACATGTAAAGGTGTTATAGAATCTTCCTTTAAAGTTGAGAGACATGGGAGCCAGGCATATGGAAGTAAAGTCTGAGTTGCACTAAAGACCACAAGATTTAGAGGTACCAGAGCCATGGGATCTGCCAAGGAGAGCTTCCTACAAAAAAAAAAAAAAAAAAAAATGGAACCCACCCTGAAAGCGAGATCTGTCTTACAGGCAGCAAAGCCAAAAGGGGAAGGCCATTTAAGCCCTCCATCAGACATGGAGCTACAGGATTTGGAGGTTTACCCTGCTGTGTTTTGGCCTTGCTTTGGTGCAATACTTCCTCACTATGGCTCCTTTTCCTCAATTTTGGAGTGGTAATATATATTCTGTGCCATTATATGTTGGAAGTATGTAATTTGCTTTTGATTTTACAGGGAGTTCCAATTAAAAGATTGCCTTGAGACTCAGAAGCTTTGGACTTTTAAAGTATGTTGAAACTGGAAAACTGTGGGAACTTTTGAATTTTGACTAAATGTGTTTTGCATTATGATATGGCCATAAGCCTGTTTGTGCTAGGGAGTGAAATGTGGTTTGAACGAGATGTTCCCCCATAAGTTGAGGGCATTTGGTTCACAGTGGCTGTCTCTGGAAGGGTAGGAGGTGTGGCCTTCCTGGAAGAAGTATACCACTGGAGTGGGCTTTGAGGTTTCAAAAGGTTGATGCCATTTGAATTAGTACTCTCTTGTTTCCTGCTTGCAGATCAAGATGTGAGCTCTCAGCTGCTGCTTCTGCCTGCCACCCACCACCCGCCACCTGCTACCTTCACTACCATTGTGGATCTTAACCCTCTGAAGCTGTAAGCCCCAAATAAACTCTTGCTTTTTGGTCATGGTGTTTTATCACATCAGTTAACAGATACAGACAACAATTGGCAGTTAACACATGAGGTTTTCTTGTGATACACAACTCAGTACGATTTGAACGTCCGGGATAATCACCTGCAGAAGGCATGATTTCTAATTCTCTTTGGTGCAATTTCATGAGCAGTAAGAGGGAAATAGAGTAAATTTCCCCAGACAAGTTTTATATTAAGACTATCAGAGACTAGTAGGTCAGTAAGCACTGGGGTAATATAGTCATATACAACTATTCCAAGCCTCTCTGGAAAATCAAGTAAGGGAAGAAGCAAGGCCAGGCCAGAAGAGTGAGCTCCTGGCTGCTGTGGAACTCACTGTGTAGTCCAGCTGGCCTCAAACTTACAGAACTCTTGCTTCTGCCTCCTGAGTGCTGGAACTAAAGTCTTAAGCCACTACACCTGGCTCCAACTAATTTTCTTAATTCAGTTTTTTGAGCTGAGCTACTATGTAACATTTGACATTGTGGTGGTCAGTTTTAATTATCAACTTGACAATCTAGATTCACCTGGGAGGGGACTTTCCACGAGGACTTGTCTAGTTCAGGTTGGGCTATGGCCTATCTCTGGGACATTGTCTTGATTACATTGATTGAGGTGGGAAGGCCTGTCCATTGTGGGTGGCTCCATTCCCTGCGGTGAGGTCCTAGACTGTAAGAGTAATGAAACCCAGCAGAGCACAGGAGACATGTGTGCATTCATTCTCTGTGTTCTTGACCTCAGTGATGTACTGGAACCTGGAAGAGTGAGTTACAATAAGCCCTTTCTCCCCCTTCCTGATTCCTGTTCCCTTGGCCACCTTAGAAACTGGATCATTTCTAGATGGAGTAGAAGTGTAACATGGATCTTTTTTTTGTTTGTTTGATGTGCATGGGTGTTTTACCTACCTGTAAGTCTGTGTGAGGGTGTGGGGTCTTGAAGCTACAGGCAGTAGCTGTCTTTCCAGCCCAGTTTTTAAAAGATGTATGCCAACACATCTGGCTCATTTTCCTTTTTTGCTTGTTTTGTTTTTTCAAGGTGGTTTCTCTGTGTAGCCCTGGCTGTCTTGGAACTCAATCTGTAGACCAGGCAGCTGGCCTTGAACTCACAAAGATCCACCTACCTCTGCCTCTTGAGTGCTGGGATTAAAGGTGTGCACCACCACTGCCCAAGTTGTAACATGGATCTTAATATGGAATAGAAAGTGCAATCACTTTCATTATTCAAACTTTACATTCCTTGGCTTTTATCGAAAGTTCTTAATCATAGCTATTTTGTTGATTTATTGATAGAAGAGAGAACCCCGTGTCTTAGTAAATACCTGAAAAGACCATCTTAAGGTTTTGGCTCACAATCTGAGGGTGCATCAGAGGAGGGAAGACAGGGAGGCAGGATCATACCCTATCCACAGTCAGGAAGCCACAGGGGTGAACGGCTAGCATTCAGCCCATTGACTAGCCCACTCTCTCCCATTGACTTAGTTCAGGACTCCAGCCCAGGGAAATACTTCCATTCAAACACATTCGGGGTAGGTCTTCTCATATCAATTAATCTGGACTAGATAATCTTTTATAAATGTGCCCAAAGTTGGTGATTCCAATCACATTGGGAATACTAAATCCCATCAAGTAGACAGTCAAGATAAACTAGATAAAGCTACTCAAGCATTTCTTGAGAATGATGATATTTAAGATGAAATAAACTGAGTGTAGTTGTATATGCCTGTAATACCAGCACTTGAGAGGGTGAGGCTAAAGGATTATACATAGACCAGTCTGTGCTACAAAGTGAATTTCAAGATACAATCTGAGCTGTATGGCATGACCCTGTCTTAACTGAGAAAAAATAATCTGCAAAATTATGTTAAATATAAATTGAAAATGAAATTGATCTCTTATTAACAAACACTTTTTAAAAACCTTTTAGGGCCAAATATGGTGGCATATACTTTTAATCCCAGCACTGGGGAAGACAAAAGCAAGTAGATATCTATGAGTTCGAGGCTAGAGTTCCAGGCCAGCCAGGGCTACACATTGAGACCATGTCTTAAAACAAAACAAAAAAAACCAAACTTTTAGGGCTGGGGACATTGTTGCTCTTATGCTTGCCTAATGATTATGAAGCTTTATATGAATCCCCCAAACAGCAAAAAGCTTTTAATGGAAAGCCTTGCAAGACAACCCCATGGCACAGAGGGCCATGATAGGGACTATCTCATATCAAAGAGAAGAAAGAGAATTACCTCCTGTGCCTACTGCATTCTTGGGCTCATGTGCTGGAGCTGACTGCAGTTTCATAAGCAGTAGTGATCATTACCTTTTAAAAGTGAGAATCAAAGATAAGTCCATATTAGTTACTCCTGTCAAAAGCCCCACAATAAGTAGCAGATACTCCATGGATCAAAAGTCAGTTCTTTGGATTTATTCAGTTTTTGTATGTATATAGTGGCAAAGTACATGTGAACCGCCGCACACACATGGAGGTTGGAGAACAACTTCGTGGAATCAATTTTCTCATTTGTTCTTTATATAGGTTCCAGGGATTAAAATCAGGTTGCCAGGCTTGTCTGACAAGTGCCTTGTCTCCAAAGTTCTCAGTTATGTTATATGTTTTGTATAAAACACTAGTGCTTAACATGCATTCTTAGAGTTGGTTTTTGATGGTATAAACTTTTACCATCTAAAGTAATATCTATTTGGATTCTTTTCCAGTTTTGTTTTTATTTTTATTTATTTCTTTTGTGCTATTTCTGTTCAAATACACTCATCCCTTAAATGATAAATGGAAGACTTTACAACTCCTTAGTGGTGCACAAGTGGGCAAGAGATAAGATTCAGCCATAGTCATATGTGATTAGGCAATTGTCTTCAAACATTGAATTCAAAGATTTTTGTTAGGACCTGAGTAAAGTCTTAAATTCTTTCCACTGTTGGGTTAAATTATCCATGGGTTGAATCAGTTGCAGAGGCCACTTGTAAAGACTATAGGAATTCCCAAAACAAACACATCATTGAGAGAAGGGCCAATCCAATGACAAGCCGAAATGCCCAAGGAGAAGCAACTGTGTAGGTGGGCTATAGTTGTAGGTTTGTTCTCACGCAGCCAACTCAGAGTCAGGTGAACTCTGGGGAAAGAAGGGATGTGTATGTGAGCCATGATACAAGTACTTTGATGAGGTTCAGAGTTGTACTGAGCCCAGAAAGAGCTTTCTCACCTGATGAGAGAAGGGTACAGTGGCAGCTAGTGGTGCTGTGGAACTGGGCCATCCCAGAAATTCAGGATTCTCTGGCCCACCTGGGAGGTGGGAACATGAGTAGAGCTCCCTGTGGTGTTATCTGAGGAACCATCAGGTCCTTAAACTACAAAAGTTTGACCTACCTAGCACTGGGATCAGGCATACACCCTTAGAATTCCCATCAGTATCTAGAGGGTTTTCTATGATGTGCTGTATTCTATTTGCATATGTGAGAATGCAAAACCATTGAGAATTATGCACTTAAACTACAAAAGTTTGACCTACCTAGCACTGGGATCAGGCATACACCCTTAGAATTCCCATCAGTATCTAGAGGGTTTTCTATGATGTGCTGTATTCTATTTGCATATGTGAGAATGCAAAACCATTGAGAATTATGCACTTACGTGAACTGACTTAAGACTGAAACGAGGGACTAAAGAGATGGCTCAGAGATTAAGAGCACTGGCTACTCTTCCAAAGGTCCTGAGTTCAATTCTCAGCAACTACATAGTGACTCACAGCCATCTATAATGAGATCTGGTTCCCTCTTCTAGCCTGCAGGCATACATGCAGGCAGAACATTGTATACATAATAAATCTTTTTTTAAAAAAAAGATGGAAACAGTTTTTCTTTCTACTGCATCTTATTCATTTGTTTGTTTTAATCAGGATCTCCCTGTGCTGGCCTGGAACTCATGATTGGTGCTGCAACCTCCTGAATTCAGGAATAGCAGGTGTATGCCACCAGACCTGTCTTTTGCTGCATTTTAAAATAGACAAATGGAGAATTTTTCAAAATGCTCAAAAAAATTAGTTTACATCTTGTTTTGTTTTTCAAGACAAAGTTTCTCTATGTAACAGACCTTGCTGTCCTGCAACTCATTCTGCAGACCATACTGACTTTGAACTCACAAAGATCTATTTGCCTTTGCCTCCAGAGTGCTGGGATTAAAGGTGTGCACTAACACACCTGTTTTATAGTTTACATCTTTATTAAAGAATGATTAGAGGCTAGAAAGATGGCTCAGTTGGTAAAAACACTTTTATACAACCCTTTCAGTTTGAGTTTGATCCCTGGCACCCATATCACAGAAGGAGAGAACTAGCTCCCAAAGTTCTCTGCCATCCAAACACACTTTGCACCCACACCCACAGAGTATGTATATTTACAGAGTGTGAGAGAGATAGTTCAGTGAATTGCTGCTCTTCCAGAGGATACAAGTGTAGTTCCTAACACCTAATATCGGGCAGGCAGGTCACAACTGCCTGCAACTCAAGCTCTAGAAGATTCAATGCCCTCTTCTAGCCTGCATGGGCACCTGCATGCTTGT